CCCACTTGCCTGAAAGTCAAGCTAAATGAATTCCTCTCATCTTTCTACTTCTTGCAGAATTATTAAATAGTAAAGTTTGATTTATAACAAAACTTCTGTTTCTTTTATCTTTGTTAAGTGTCGACGTAGATTGTTATAGATTTATTTTTACCCATTTCACACCATAAAAAGTAATTTTATAGATTACGCGAATAGATTTTTATGTATTCCATTTATTCCATTTTTAGATACCGCTTTTAATCCTTGATACTTTCTCCCAATCGTCAGATATAAATGTCATGACGTCACATTCATCAATCACGTTGATGGACGTTTTGTCACGTTATCCATACGATCGTTTGAAATCGGAAAAGGGTACGCACGGCCGCATCATTTTTACGTTTTTGCAGTCTGCGAAAGGCTTGATACGTGTTGCGCGCAAATGCTTTTAATTACTGTCTTCCAATAAAAAAAAACAAAGAACAAATAATTTCATAAAAAAGATTTAATTAGCCATTGTGTATTTTATTGGCCCTAATTAGTAACAAGTAAATAAAAATTTGCATTTCTGCAATTAATGCATTAATTGCATTTTATAAGAGTAATTATTGTTTATACATGGGACATTCTTCTCGTTACAATAATTAGGAGCTCTAATTTATAACAGTAAACATTCTCTTTGTGTCGTCTGCACAAAGCTTATTAAAATCAATGGGACAATTACTGAATACCAGGTATGAGAGAGGCGACTAGTGAATGTCTGACCACATTGTGTTATTTTCTACTTATTCAGACTTAATAAAAAATTTTGCACTCATCGTCGTCTTATTCAATTCTTACAAAGATGGTAATGGGATCGAAAAGCTACGAAATCGAAATCTTATAATGCAATATCGATTAAAGCCTTTTAATTGGGTTGTCGGATGGAACAGTGATAAAGATTTCTGATTAACGCGATGTAATCTCGTATCACTCTAGCCAGGCTACCGTGACTCCTGGTTCGTACGCTCCATCCTTCTTCGTTCTACGGCGGTTCTACTATGCGCTCGGAGACCGGCGCATCTTCAAAAATCGATTTAGCTGCCGCGAAGTCTTCTATCTTCCGCGTGGCGGTCGTAGATAAGAGTGAAAGGTAATGTTTCGGAAGGTTGGTGTAAAAGCCGCGAATAAATTATTCGAACTCCAAACTCCGAGAGATCGCGTCGAACTGTTGTGTCTATTTTTGGCGTTTTTTCGTGTTTCTCATTCAACTCGTATTCGGCACAGTCGAGATAACGATTGCAAAATTTTAGTTCTGCGGATCATCTAACTCGCCGGAATTATTGACACTGATTGCTTTACATTTGTTACACTACTTTGTTATCGTTTTATTTTTAACGGAGTGTATATAACACGATACGATCCATTGTTATATTGTATTTGATAAAAATATCGGAAACTTTAATAATAGCAATTTTCTCTTTCCACCTTTGCTTTGTTTCCGTCACATAATGGAGCATTCACGGTTCTCCAAAAATATATGTGAAAAATGAAACTTGCTCACACAGTAACAAATGCTGTAACATTTGGATTGTGGCTATTGCCCGTTCCAGTCGAAACCCAACGATGAAAATAGCTTTGACTGCACACCGTCGATATCTCGACAATGAAATACGACTGATGGTGCGACATAGGATCTCGCGGTATCTCGGAATAAAAATAGGTAACAAAAATTTTAGTATAAGATTCTCATAAATCTGGATTTGAAATTCGATATATACACAAGTCATAAATAGAAAATATACTATAGCTAAATCTTCTGTTATCTTACAACACATTCAACATCAACAAAATAACGAAATGACTGAAAATTCACAAATATATTTTATTGTATCGAATTTTAAAGAATTTAAATATTTTGAAGAATTTAGATAATTATTAATTTTTTTAAATATCGCGTTGCCATACTGTGCTCTGCCACAAGTCCAAATAACTTTTACAAAACTCGTAACAAAACATAAATATGATAATTTCTTTTTGCCCGGGACTAATGTAAGTTTATTGTTGTTCGCGGACATGATTAAATTCCGTCCGAACAAGTTAACAAGAAACTCGGAACTTCAGTTTGAAATACACGCCGTGTAAGAAAGCGCATCCCCGACTTGCGAGAATTAAAGTTGGAGAGGCGGTCTTAACCGCACTCGCGAAATGAAGCAGAGGAAGTCTTTTCTCGCGAAATGATCCCCCTGTTACCGCGTTTCTTTCTTGAAGGAGAAACTGCGGAGAAAAATCAGTTGATTAAATCCGACGCGGAGAACAGGGGTCAGTCTAACTGCGTGCACGTGTCGGTACTTAAAATAAAATGCGTCGAGGGTTAATGGAGGTTTATTGTACGCCGTTTAGCGGGCGAATTTTATATGCCAGCGAGAAATACGGAAATTCTTTCGAGAGTTACCATTGAATAATTTGTCGACGGTTCTTGCTAGGTTTGCTTTAAACGAAACTATTCGTGGTTTCCGGTGTATATATATTCTTCTACATGTGTCTGTATTCAACGAGATAGAGTCGCATTTGATTTTACACAAAGGATTATATGAATAAGAAAGAAGCGAATGTTGAACGAGGAAAGGGGGAGAAGATAAGAGCAAAAACATTTGTTTCGAAGTAAAAACACGAAGTAAAATCGCACCTCATGTTTCGTATAAATAATTTTCTGTTTTTACTCCCGTGAAGTGTTTGCTTTGTGAAACATTCGATGGTAAACATCTTCCGTTATCCCTGCCACGACATATAGTGATAAGTTTACCTTCAAAAATATTGAACGCTTCTTTTTACCCGCAACGTTTCCGCAACATTTGCTATAAATTGTTACGTTGGCACAATTGTCTACTTTAACTACCAATATAAACAAGCATTCTAAACTAGATGCCCCACTTCTGTTTACACAATTTTATTGAAATAGTCGCAATAAGTAAAATCAACAGCGGTTACGCCACTCTGTTCATATGACCCAGTATCTAGGCTTTATTCACTCAGCTAGTCAGGACGAGTCGCGCGAAAACTGAGATGTAGCTATTTTCATTACGCGTGTGCGAGTTGAATAACAATGATCGGGTTTCTTGTCTACAAATGGCCGAATGACCTATTGTGTCTGTTTTTTTTTTCATTTTTCGAACGACGCATAGATACGGTTTTATAAAAGCAAAGGATATGGAGGTGTTCGAGAATCGCCGTTCTCATTTTTGATGACATTTCTGTCATAAAAAATAATAAATTTCTTCTTTTTGCAACTTGTTTTAGATTTTTAAATTTAATTCACATTTGTTTAATAGAAGTTGCACACCGCATCTCTGCATGTAATACTTACAAAAGTAATAATTATATGAATAGATTAAGTATAAAAAACAAGCGATAAAAAAAAGATATAAGATATATATAGTAAATATTGTAACTTTGAGGGAAATAATTAATTAAAAAATGTAATCTAAATCATTCATTTCTCCTAAGATTGAGATTTATTAAATCATAAATTACTTAAAATTCTTCAAAAAAAGACTTTGAATTATTTTATTTTCTCTGAAGAATATTTTTTTCCAAAGTATTTTATTCGATTGTATTTTTGTATTGCAATAATTAAGAATATTTTTACGCAATAAAAATGCATATGATAATCTAACATTTACATCGCATGACTGAATTCAAAACAGCCCGACCTCGTTTGAGAGTAATTAGTTTGTTGTTTTGAAATTTGTAATTTTCGCCGCAACTTGAATCCGCAACCGAGGTTGCGATCGTGGTTTCGCATATTGCAAATTCTCGCGTGTCGCAACTTATTTTCCTCGCCATCTTGGCAGCTCGACAAAGAGGCCTGTCGAGAACACGTAGGTAGCTCAACAGGTAGCTTTGAGAACCTCCCTTCTCTCTCTTCTTTTCTGCCGCGTATTTTTCTGCCGTTCTTTCATATTTTACATGCCGTACTCTGGCGAGCTGTCACGCCTACACGCGTGAATTGCTCTCTTCGAGCCTGATACTTTCCGCGCCGCTTCATCCTTTGACATCAAACTCGATTGAATTTTGGTAGAGTATATTTCTGCGCGAACATGATGAACGGGTTTAAATAAATCTGTTTGTTTACAGCACACGTGCTGATTTGTTTCGCGGATGGCAAATGGATCGATTTTACAAAGCTGAATTTTTTGTAAGAGGTTTTGTATCAATATCGATAGAACATGCGTTTGCGGTGTTTAATTACATTTTAAAATCTCTTCAGAAATTTTATCAAAAATATATAATAGAAAGAACTACACTGAAATTAACAGTGTGGAAAAATATCAATAGAATGTCTATCATTCTACGAGAATTATATTATTACACAAATATTCAAGATTTGCAATAACTTTTTGTTTAATTGTCACTTTATGAAAGTTCAATTTCATGCGCATAATCGACGTTATTGCAGAGGAAAAAGGTTAAATAAATTTGAAATATTGAATTGTTAAAAGTAAATATAAAAAAATATAAAAACATGGAAACAGAGATTACTTATCACACTGTATTACTAGCTGTTTTAACTGGCCATTAGTTTTCAATTGCAATTATAACGACATCAAGAACACGAGGTACAAATATCAAGAAAAAGCGTGGCTAATTAATATCGCGCACACTCATTAACAGTATGACAACGGTCGCCAGGCACTTTATTCGATGCACAATTACGCGCGCCTCGAACGAGTAAATAAAGCATGGCTTGATACACATCAAGCGGACGTGCAATCAGACACGGTTCACGGATATAAAAAAAAAAAAAAAGTAGCCTTCAATGCATCGTCGTGATCTATCGTAAAAACTGTATTTTTATTCCAATTTATTATTGCAATCCTTTTCTGTTTTATAATCAGTGATTTTCAAAGGTTATAAAAGAAAAAGAAATATTCAGGATTTTTTGTCGTACTTATAGCTTTTATAAAACTTCATAGATATCTCCTATCTTCCTATGTAATTTTGAATTCTCTTCCTTATTGTTAGTTTTGACGAGTTCAGTTTTAAATGGGTACTTGGAAGCCGGAAAATGGCTCGCGGACGAAGGATTCTTTTTCGTCGTTCTGTTTTTGCGTTCCAAAAGATAACAAATGTTTGTGCGAGGTTCGAGCAACAGGATCGCTGTATGTCCTGTTAACAGCATTGTCAAAGTTGCTCCATTCATTCTCGCAGGATCTCGAGATCCTGAATGTCTCGCATTCAGTTCGCCTATCATTCGTTTCAACATTACTGAAACACTCAATCGGTTGCTTCAAAGAGGCCAATATTTTCTCTTCATCAATGAAGTGCCTGGACTCTACGTCACATGTTCTGAACGTCATCTGCGACTCACGTGATAAAAGTTCCATCAGCTTGTCGTCATACATCTTCATTTCGTCCGGCTTGTCTTTGCTCGAGACGTTCATACGTGACTCGATCATGTACGTCAAGTTGCTTCTTTTACTTCTGGAGGACATCGCACTGTCCAACGAACTTGATTCTTCATCTACGTTAATATTTTATTTTTCATTATTTTGTAATATTTTATTTTTTATTATTTTGTAATATTTTACTTTTACATTTGTTGAAATAAATTCTTCCCCAAAAATCTGGTTTTCTGTACGTTATTGTTTTTTAACAACGAATTTAAATTTGCAAATTGCTTTTACACTTTTTCAAACAATTTTTGAAGTTTTAATCAAAATAGAAATATAGAATTCGGCATGTTTTTAGTAAAGTAATACCTATTTCGCGTCGATCGAGGATCTTCTTGTCCAGGTAATCGGAGCAGAACGACGGCGTTGAGGCGTCGTCGCCCTTACTGCGCGCCGTCGTTTTCCTAATTCCCGAAGTTGTTATCGCTTCGTTCCCCTCGGATATATCCAGCTCTTCCTTTCGCGGTGATAACCTTCGAGGAGTACTCTTCAGACATCGATCCTCGCCTGCGAACGTGACTTCGCGCAAAGCACGACTCAGCTGCTCGATTAGATCTCGGATGTAAGATAACGTTGGAGTGTCGCCCTCTTCCTCGCTGATCTTCGCAGCAACTCGCAGCTCCTTGTAAGCCTCTATAAAGCATGGAGCTCATCTTAAGGACAATCATGCACCGAGCGTGTCCTCTCTTTTCATAATTTTACGTAAAGATCTGAACGAGTTTACACGAGCAATAAACGGGCTTACGGCTTTTAAGTTTCTTCGCGACGGTAAAGCGATATTGGATCGAATATACTCGGATACGCTAAATTGAATTTAGAGATATGTCCATTTGTCTTTATTCTCAAGAATATACCGCGTTTTTTTCCTTTTCCCGAAACGAATAAATTTGATATTCGGAGAATTATGAAAATATTGTATACATTTATTTCGTTTAAACTCGCGTTGTAAAAAAATTACATCTGTGTGTAGATCCATAAAAATTTTAGAAGTCATATTTCGATTATACACGGATGTTCTACACGCGTTGGTCTACATTCCGACACTTTCTCACGGACGAAGCGAAATAAAAATCCCGCGTGATAAATACGTCAGCGCGCACATTAGAGAAGAGCGCTGTATTTTTCACTCTGCTTCTCTTTCCTTTCTGTTCCTCTTTTTCTTTTTTTTTTTTTTTTTTTTTCGTAGACCAACTGCACATTTCTGATGTAACACCAGACATTTTAGATATCTTTTTCCGGCAGTTTAGATAACGTAAAATCGTGGAAAATTGTACACTATTTTTCCAGGCGGCTAAAAATAATGCGAGGTACAACATGATATTGCATTTAGAATGAAAAAAATTCTGGAAAAAAAATTCAGGAAAAGTTAAAAATTAAAAAGCTTCGCTGAAATTCCGCGAGAAGAATAGCGATATTCGGCAGTCGCGCGCCTGCATTTTTGCTCGTGCGGAAAACTTGTTCGGCAAAAAACTTCGCCCAAAGAAAAAGAACGGGGGACGTTCTTGGGAAGGAAGCTCGAGGCGACAGTTTGAGAAATAGAGTCATCACCGGCGAAACGACCCAGCATCGCCAGGCACTGCGCCCGTAGCAGGCCGGCGTGAAAGGTCCACTTCTTCGAGTTTGCCTCATCCGCGCACTCCCGACACTGCACCGCCTTGCGCAACGCCTCGGCGTACTTCCCCGTCTCCAAATGGCAGCGTCCAATCTCGTGGTGCATCCATGCTCGCAGCACCGGATGTTCGACGTGAATCGACAGCCTCTCCCAGACACGTGCGGCCGCTTCCAGATGACCAAAGCTGAGATGCACCTTTCCCAGCGTTACGAGAGCTCGCGACAGAAGAGCGGCGTCGTCGGTGCTCTTCGACAAGCGCACCATCATGGCGACAGCGCTGCAAGCTCGATCGTGTCTTCCCAAAGCCGCGTGGATCAGAGACAAGTAATGATACGCCGATATCCTGTGCCGATGCAAATCCTCCAGGCTGGATGATAATGTTAGCAAATCTTCGGCGAGTCTCAAAGAAATCCTCATTTTGCCGGCGTTGAAGCTGGATTTCAGATTCTTCAGCATCGCATCGGCGCGATGACTAATATACTTTAGCGTCGTTCCGGATCGACTCAGTCGCGAGACCAACGATTCTAGCGTAGAAGAAGTTTTGCGGGGGTTCTTCTTGCGGATATCGAGATATCTGAGAGAAGTAGAAATATCCTTTGACCGGAATATCGCGCTTAATAATATTCAAGCTTCAAATCATCGAAGATGAAACCCTCTTCGCAAGATAAACTCCTAAGTAGCAATTAATTCATCGTTTGCTTGAAAGCTCAAGTGGATTTTATTTTCTCCTAATTTTGAGATGTTTAATCTTTTAAATTTAATTTCAGTTGCAAGCGTAATTGCTAAAATATTTGATATTAAATAACGAAAGGATAAAAATAAAAAGTCAGTTATAAATTCATCTTATCTTTAAAATTTAGAGTAGAAGAATCTTTAGAGTTTAGAGTAGAAGAAACTTTAGAGTTAAAACTAAGACCGACGCTTCTGGAACACCTTGTAGATATCGTTTACGTTAAATATAAGCACAAGTAGATTCTACACCTACTTGAGGATGTCAGGGGTAATCGATAGATTATCACAGGACTCCGAAGTATCACGCTCTCTGAGCGCCGCTCTCTTGAGACATAAAGTCACCTTCGAGATCGCATCGTCTCTCGTGTTCACCGAAAGCTTCGCTGAGCTTCTCTCCGGATTACTCCACGAGCTTATCATGGCCGTAGTACGTCGCGCTGCCACATTGTGGCTACTGTCATGCGGACACACAGTGGCCGCTCGATGATACAGCACCAATGCCGACTCGTATTCGCCACTGTGTGATTTACACGAGTAAAATTTTAAATTTTCATTCTTTATTCACATTGCAGCTTTCATTATTAATTCTTTGCGTTTGCGACAATCCGATAAAAAATTTAAGCTCCTCAACATTTTTTAATACGTTATTAATAATTATTATCTTATCGGAAGTATAGTATAATAATTGTGTTTAATATTAAAACATATATAAAAATATTGAACATTCTGTAAAAGCATAGCAAGAAATCCATCGACTCATTGATACCGGAATTAAACCACAGGTTGGTTTGCAGATTTCGTTTTGTCGAGAGAAAAGAGTAGATCTATTTGCGGAATTAAAATGCTCTTGGCTATCCGCAAAAACTAAACACCCGTCGTTAGTAAAGCGAATTTGAATGTTCTTTTAGGGAAATGACGTATTGGCAACATTTCCGATATTTCTTATGACCCATTTTTCTTAAACGGTTCCCAAAATGTTTATATTTCAGCGACAATGATGATAAATTATTTCGAGATTTAAATTCGGCACGCTGAAGTTATGTGGCGCGTTTTATCGGCAACAAATTCACTTTGCTGCAATATAATGAAATATTTACGCGCGCAGTGATTGAGCAAACAAAATGTAAGAGAGATAAGCATTTCAGCCAAAAATTTTAACAGATTCTGTTCTAATCGATAATTTTGTAAAATTTGCTGGAACAATGCATAATGCAATATATTCAAAAGAAAGTTTTCCAATTTTCCATGAAAACTTCTTTCATCGCTTATGTACGCCGATCAATCTGCATCCGTATAAAATATCGACACATTTGACGTAACTAAGGTAATAAGAATGTACTGTGATCATTTCTATACGTTCTCTACGTTCATGCGTCCAGATCCAATTTTTAGATGTAAATTACAAAACATCATAGCGGCACAATAGCTCTTCCTCCCTCATTGTTGTGCGCATTCACGATCCGACAAAACCGCGAATTCTTTTAGACAAAGGAAACGAGAATATTATTTAAAAAAGTAGCCGGATTAGATTCTCGTTGTAAAAAAATGAGGAAAAAATCTGTTAAAAAGTTAATGCGCTTTGACATAAAGCGAACGTGAAAATATCCGATGCAGACTCTCGAGATTAGCGTCGCGCCGTCAAATTAGCCAAGCTAATCAAAATGAGTCGTGAAATATGAAGGAGGCCGTGAGATTAACGCAGTTAATGAATATTGATTACGTTACCATTCGTACAGCTCGTCCGCTTGGCGATGCAGGGCTTGTGCATACCGTCGGCTATTTCTACACAGCAACTTCGAAGTATTCGCCTTTATTTGAAGGCGTGCGCGGTTCTCCGCACTTTCCACGGTCTGCTTCGTGACATCGAGATCGTGCACGGCGCTGTTAAGCTTCTGTTTGGCAGAGGTAGCCATTCATATCGCCTGCGAGTTTTCCTCATCGAAGATACGTGCGATTTGTTTTTCGATCGGAAGTCTTTCGCAGCCAATTTCGCTCGTTGCGATCGATTCCTTATTGGTTCGATAACTGAAACATAAATGTGGAATATTTGTTAAATTAAAATCGTGCAATTATACGTATATATTATGAACTACACACACAGAGCATGAAATCTTTCCAGAAAATATCTTTCTCATTAAATCAAATGTTAACATAATTTCATAAAACAAATGTATAATAATTTCTGTAAAATATACTCCTGTAAAACAGTATTATCGAAAAAGATAAAGGATACCGCGTAAGCCATTATAACTGCTACAGAAACGGAAGCTTCTATAAACACGCCGTGTATACGAGAGGTAATCCATCTTCGTGAATTTCATGCGTATCTGGTAACAATACATTGTACAGCATCTACTTCTCGAGTGATCCAAGCTATCCATCTTGAATTATTCCCGACGCACGCGATATCGGAAAAATGCAGCATGAAATACGACATATTTCTTACATGTCGGTCAAATGTCAGACATGTACATCGCAGAAATATGAAGGGTTTTATTTAAATTCCAAATCGCGATCGCGAAACATAAAAATGTATGTGTGTTTCCCTTGTTATATACAATATTTGATGCACAAATTCAGCTCTTTTCCCTTTTTTTCTACCTCTCTCTTTTCCCTACTTAATAAATTGCCATATTATTCCCATGCGGCGGCTAATTAATTACTCTTTCCAATTAACAGTCGGTGCACCGCCGTGATAAAATGTTGCCAGAAAGCTCGGCGAAGAGAGACGGGAAAACGAAAGAGGTGAGACCGGAATTTTAGACGGTGGAAGCGATTGAAAAAAAAGAAGAAAATGAAGAAAGGAGAGTTGAAGCCGCGAATGCGGTAAGGAGATTTCCGCTACGGTGCTTCCGATAGCTTTGCGGGCGGCCGGAATGTTGTTCACGGATTGGGAAGCGCGATGTCGTTATTGGAAAACGACCGTGTATCACGACGAGATAGGTCTGTCAAGCGTCATCGAATTGGAACGCGAGGATAACGAGACAGCGTGATGATGCACGGCGAGTCAAAAGAGAAATCATCTGCACATCATCGAGATTATACAAAGCGCGAGCTACAATTGTTAGCAACGTCGGCTGACAATTTTCAATGCTGCGGGATCTAGTGATGCGGGATCGGAAAAACTCCTGCTCATTTTGTTATACAATCTTATTATTATACATTTAATAGTATATTAGTATGCATTAAACATTTCTTCTCCAGATATTAAACATATTTTTCTAAATAAATTATTTCAGTATAGAATGAAAATTGCAAATAAATTTAATGATAAAATCTAGAGTTTTTAACAGTCACCGATAAATTCGAGGCAAATAAACGCGCGATAATAGCATAACGGTTGAATGACTCTCATTTGCGCAATGATAATTCGCTTCGCGACGAACAATGCAACGAAAACGAACCATTCGTGTCCTCATCACGGATATGGATCATTCATATTCTTCGAAATTCACGAAACCCGGTCGCCGGTGAGGCGGGGCGTGCTGCTTTAACAAAGCGATCCTAGCGTCCCTCGCCAGATCCTTCGACGGACTGGGTAATATGGTCCTTCGCATGGAGGGCATTTTGAACTTCCGATCGATCGGCTTGCAGCCTGGCATAACGGAGAGTCGTCTCGCGGCAGGCACGACATCCATGCGCCGCCATAGAAGATTCACCTCTTTCTTCATTTCTTTCGGCATCAGCTCGAGGATGAGCTGCTGCCTAGCAATAATGCCGTTAAAGTCGTGATCGCCGCTCCGCTCCCCATCCATCTCGTCCACGATTCCCACAGCCCTTTCATAGAAATCTATCTGCGGAAATATTATGAGACTCTTGAATTAACCGGCATTGACAATGGAAAATCCCTTTGCCCATCCCGACGTTAGCGATTTGATTGTGTCGCGTTGTAATAAAGAAAACCTGCCTCTCGCGAAAAAGAGGATCATTGCGTCCGGTCATCTTCACAAGGAGAAAGATTTTTCGAAGCTATTTTCTCGCTTTTTACGAAGCTCCGCAAATAACGGGAATGTATAACGTTTGAATAGAGAAAGAAGCAAGAAATCCTTCAACGAGCATTAGCGTGTCTAAAGCGTTGTAATGAGAGCATAAAATTTCTCCAAAAATTACGTTTTTCTCTCCGCGATAATAGATGTAATGTAATTCGCGATAGCAGATTTCGAATGTAATTTGTCTTTAGTAGGTTGGTAAACATCGTCTGCTAAAAAATTTAAATTGCGAAAACACGAATTGTACTCAAGAGATGAAACATTAATGCAAATTACCGCGAATGACGGTGAACCCAATTTTATTCGTTATTTCCCGATATTTTTCAGACTCTCGCGCGCGTCGCGGACTAATTTTAAGTAATATGTAATCGGATATCGATTGTAGAATAAATTCGACCGTAATAGAGCGGCGCTATTACGAGCACGTATTCGCGAAATCGTGAGAATTTTATTTTTACCAGACAATCAATATCAAGCTTTTTGGCGCACGCGAGTGCTGAAATCGCAGCGTCTCTTGCCTCGTTGCGATTATTCTGATGGATCTCTATTCGCAGTATTAAATGATCAATGTTCAGGACCCATTGGTTGCACTTTGCCTCCTGCGCCATATCGCGTCCTTTCTTCGCGTAGAATCTGGCTAGGTCGAAGCGGTGAATGTCGTGGAGAAACTTGCAAAATTCATGATGCAGCCAGGCGAGCTCGAGTGGCGCGGATGCCATGGCTAATCTCCTGCTCGGATGGCAAATATTGAAACCGTTTTCAGGATATCGATCAGTTAAATGAGTATTATTATATAGCGGATAAACTGCGCGCAATTATAATCACAAATTCTACGCATAAATAACAATATAAAGCTCATTACCTATAATTCTGTAAATTATACACAAAAGGGGCGAAAAATTAATATTTCCCCTTTTTAAGTAAATATTTTGAAAAAGCATTATCAATTTTCTAGCTGTGCATAAGTAAGATATAAAAATCATAATCCTACTCGCATATGCAAGATGCAGAAGATATATGAAAATGAACTATGAATATACGATTTATGAATATTTTATATTCCCTTAAAATTTGTTTATGAATGAGTTATACCGGCGAAACATTTTCAGTGTCTCCTTGGGGTTTATAATCGGCATCCATGCGAGATCGCTGTCTCGAGGTAACGTTGCAATTCGTATTCCCAGAAGATGCTTCAAATATCTCGTCTTCGTTTCCTCATTGCCCAGACACATCAAATTACGCGTGTCAATATATACCGATGCCACTATTTTGTACAACGCATTCAGGCACTTCTGCTTCTGCGGAAACATCTTGTCCGAATATGAATCAAACTTATCCTTAGTGCGATAGACGCATCTGATAAAAGGATTTCGAACGGAATTTCATTAATTTCGAAGTTTTAGAAATTTCAGATTTAAAGTCGTTGAAGGAAATATCGCTTGATATAAATTAATTCATTCTTGGAGTGAAGTTATTCTCATTTCCCGGAAGTACCGTTTCGCTATCCACGCATTTGTTTGTCAAGTATTTCCGCTAAAATTGTTTGTTCTCGCAAAGTTATAAAATCAAAACTAAAATAAATCTCGCGAAATGAAACAAGACGTTGAAAAACTTCAAAATTCACATCACAAGTATTCATCGATTGATATCATGAATGTCCAATGCGACCATAACATTTGAATTCAGATATTTCAATTTCAATGAATGTTTGAAATTGCATTCGATAAAGGTCAATAGTATATTGACATTTCGAAAAGTCCAATCACTATGTGTTACAAACCTGAAGAAGGTAGAGTAGTCCTTGCTGATTCTCGCGGCGTGCAGGCGACGCAATAGGACGTCCGCTTCTATGACGATGACATTCCTGCGCCATTTTCGTTCCCGTTCGATCATCTCTTTGTGCCTATTCGCGAACGCCCGCCGCTGGAAGAGCGTAACGTAGAGCGGCCGTCTTATTCGGAGCAGATCCAGCAGGTACATAATGTTTCGATAGCATGTACTCGTAAGAGCGACCAGCTCCGTAGTCAAGCTCTCGCTCGGCAAAGCCACGATTTCCGGATGGCTCACAATCTCCTCGAGAAAATCCTTATCGATCGCCAAGTAACCCATATACATTTTCACTATGACGCGCTGCAGTCTCCTCATTCGCGCCTGCCGCTGCACCTCCGGATCGTTCACCTTGAATCTCGCCTCGTCCTCGTCGATATCTACGATTAAAGCCATCCCGCCTCATCATTATTGAAAGCGCTCCAGAATGGCGAGTGATTTCTTCACGTCTTTTCATAATTCGATTTCATTTTGCCTTGTGATATTTCCAGCAATATTTAATAGATTACATTTTACAGTAAAATCCTTCAGACGTGACACTTTCTTAATTGTAGAGTTCGAAAATATCGATTTCATACTTGTATCACAATTACTTCGGATTATATTTTATGTGGCATAAAATGAGTTTTAAAAAGAAACAAAGCGTTTTCTGATTTCGCCATCAAGAAAATTGAATTTCGTCTCGTAAAAGTCAAAGAGCGCCGTTTCGAGACTTTTTCGCTTTACTCTTACTGCTGCTTGGAGATTGATAGCGGTGATATCGCGAAAAAGCGCCGTTTGTTCGTCTTTGTTCTAGGTATGATACCTTTGAATTCGTTCTCCTCCTCCTCAAGTTTGCCGATTAGGAATTCGCGGTGTTTTTGCAGCTGCTGTATCCACGGATAAAGCAGCAGTAGCGCTATAGGCGACGTGTTTTTTCCAATACAATCATCAATAGTCCCGCTTGCCTGATGGACGCCATGCTCAAAAGTCATCCCGCGTCGTCGCACACTGTCGTGGGCGAGTGCCAAGCTATGGCCAAATTCGCCGATCTGGAAGAGCGTTTCGATCCGCATCTGCCGCACTTTGTAATGATCGAAATCTACAGCGGAAACAGGACAAATGCAGGACGAATGCGGGGATCAAGCGTGTCTGCTGTTTTATCGAATTATCGAGCGAAAGACAAATATCGAATGTCGTCAATTGACCAAGCGGACCGTTTATCCGACAGGATTCTTTGTAAGATACACATTGTTTGTGAAACAATGTAAATATCAGATCAGATATAAAATAAACTGAGAATAAATATACTATAAGTTATATCGTACGTAAAAATAGAAATATAACTATTATACTGTATAATTTTTTACATTATATAAAAATGATGGAAAAGTTATTAATGCTGAAGATAATTACAACAATATTCACCTGCGCGTATTATAAAGAAAGTATAAAAAGAAAAGTTTACTTGACATTTACACTGTTTTTATGTTCACTACATCGCCGCAGTCATACCTAGTTTCATATATTTCTCCGAAAGTTTATCAGCGGCAAAATATCTCAAACATTTAATGAGCGCTCTGCAGAGACCAATTAACGTTCTAAAATCCTCAGCGTCTAATTTGGATGCCCTTTCAAAATAATCTATGGCTAAGGAGCATTTGCCGAGATTGGTCAGTCGATAGCCCCATTCGCGATAAAGGATGGCCTCCCTGAAGACTTCGGGAGGCTCCTCCTCCCTTTTCAGCGCCGACATGACGATCTATTGAATCCTTTTAAAATATAGAGAAGTGACTCATTAGATTTATAGCGTGTCATCAAAATCAATATTGCCGTCAAGATAACAATAGTTCGAAGAAAGAATTGTCAGGAACCTACCTATCTTTTTGAAACAATAAATTTTCCTGATAACGTACAAAGAAACGTGGAATCTCACATGATTGATTTTT